CACAGGGGAAGCCTGGCCGATGACCTGGGCAGGAGGAGCAGGGGCAGGATAAAGTTGGAAAAAGTTGACAAAATTTGCCTTCTCATCAACCTCTGCCTGACCACATCTGCAAGGTCAATCCAAGGGAAGTCTTGCAACCTGCGAACAGCTTGCGTTGTTGTGACCACGCCTTTGAGCATCCAGAATTCAGTTTGCAGTCATAGGAGAGAGAAGCTCAGAGAGATGGGTTGGACTTCCCCTGCCAGCATGTTGAACATGTGCTAATACGCCTTGCCAAAGATTCCATTCAACCCCCCCAAACAGATTGATAACCCCATAAACAGGTTATGACCCTGTAAAAACTGTTCAGTGCGGCTTTGCTCAGCAAAATCCACCACTTGTATTTTTACTTATTGGCAAAACATTACCACATCTTTTAACAGTCATCAAACAACATCACATCATATGTAGACAGGTTACACAATTGTCTTCAAAAATATACACTTTTCAAACGAATTTTTATATTTTTTATTTATTCTTTCTTTTCAGAAATAGCTGCGTTTAGTGTTTTACCGGATCAATATTTTCACATGAAGGAAACCAGTAAAGCACCACGCTGACTCAAACTGGTCGAATAATTTACTACATTGACTACCCCAGATATTTTTAGCGTTTCTTTCATAGCCATATTTTTTCTTTCTTCTGAAATAGACATATTTACATAAACTGTGACCTTACATCATCACGAGGCTTTTCTGTCCAATCAGAGGTATAGACATCATCTGAATGCTGGAAAATGTTACATTTACACATCTGTAAATGTTGAGAGGCCGTTTCTACCTGTCTGAAACGGGTGCATCATTTATCTCACTTGTTGATTTTTATATTTTAAATAAGTTGTTTAGTTTTACTTTGATGCTGAACTTTGCAGCACCAGCTATTAAACGTGCTCACCCTCCACATGACTGGTGTTGTTACTGCAAATGCTTCAATCAACTGGGAAATCCACACAACAGGAGGGAAATGTCTGATACACCGGTGCACCACTACTGGGGCAGCAGTAGCTCAACGGGTTGAGTGGGTTGTCCAGTAATTGGAAGGTTGCAGGTTCAATCCCGGCTCTGGACAGAGAATTCTGCCGTTGTGTCCTTGGGCAAGACTCTTAACCCACCTTGCCTGCTGGTGGTGGTCGAAGGGACCGGTGGCGCCTATGCTCTGCAGCCTCGCCTCTTGTCCCTCCCCTGTTGTCAGTGTGCCCCAGGGCAGCTGTGGCTACCTCGTAGCTCATCACCACCAGTGTGTGAATGTATGTGTGAATGGATGAATGATACACTGTAGTGCCGGGGTGTACTGGCCTATCTGGCATTTTGGCACTGTCCCAGTGGGCCGCTTAGCCAAGTGGGCTGCTTGCCCAGTTTGGGCCGACACTACTCCACAGTTGGTGATCTGCAGAACATTAGCTACATGGTAACCTGAA